GTGTTCGTTTTTATTTAAGGGGGGAGGTGTCTCTGAAGTCATACAAGGGAAACTGAGTGAGGCATTAGTCCTTACAGGGAGGAAAGTTATTATCCTCTCAAGCTGCTTTTTAAAGATCATAATGTTTAATACAGATTTTTGCTCCGATCAGCCAAGCAAAATGATCCGGCGGAGGGGAGGGGATAGATTTGACCTGTCATCCGTTTCGCTTTGTTACGCTCTCGTTACTTCTGAGTCGTTGTTTCCATTTGGTTAATCAGATAACGATCATACAATTTATAGGATCTTTTAAAAAAGGAACAACTTTGAATACAAAACTAGAAACTTTGAAAGTAAATGCCCCCTCCTTTCCCCTCCCCTAAATAAAAAAGAAAAAACCCATATAAACCGTTGGACTAGTAAGACAGCACTGTACCTATTAATAGTATGCTATATCCTTAATCCAGGATAGATTTTTATTTTTATTTTGCTCTCGGGCATTGTCAAGTTAAGCATAACTGATTATTATGATTATGAAACACTATAACCCCGTTTAGAAATATCTCAGGCGAACTAAAGCATTGCAACAATTCCAGAAAGACTGATTAATTGTAAATGTTTTACGCCACTATTGACACATAGTAGATAATTTAAGAGGCAGGCCGCTTCGATGATGCCTCCTGTTGAAGCTAGAACAGGCTGAGTGGGAAAGGGCCTCTAGCCGAAGCGAGCTTGAGCAGATATGCAGAGATAATTACGCCTAGAATAACGTCTCTGGCACGGGAATCGAATTCACTCACATAGTTTGTCTGCAACAGTGACGAGCATAACATGATACCATATACGCTGATATCTGAAATTGAAGTTTTAAAACCTAAAGGATATTCTAACGTCAAGCACGATAAGCATCTTGTCAAAGTATTCTTTTTCAGGTTCAATCAAATACGTGTACCGTGTCTTTTTTGTGGGTTGCCTTTTGAGTGCGGGGATGGGGGGAAGGGATTGCCTTAAGACTTAATGAGGATATACAGTCAAAGTAAGAGCCTGTGACTTGGGTTTGCTTGTGTAAGCGCGCGCGCGCGCGCGCGTGTGTGTGTGTGTGTGTGTGTGTGTGTGTGTGTGTGTGTGTGTGTGTGTGTGTATGTGTGTGTGTGTGTGTGTGTTAGGGTGTGTGTGTGTGTGTGAGTGTGTGTATAAATATTTTTACGCACCCATTGACACAATTTAGATCATTTAGGATGCAGTCTTCGGCCTTGTCTGTCAGAGCCATCCTGGGCGGGGAAGGAGGGAGAGATAGAGAGATAGAGAGGGAGAGACAGACAGACAGACAGACAGACAGACAGACAGACAGACAGACAGACAGACAGAGAAAAAATGTTTTAGATTATTTTTACTTTGTATCTTTTGGTTGCATTTCTTGTCTGCCCTTCTTTCTTTCCCAAAGAGTTGCTTATTTCATTTTTTTCGAAAGGACGGAGGTGAGTGGTTGTAATCACGTACCCAAAAGCAAATTTACAAAAGAGGGAAATCTCAAGTTCTCCAGAGATACGAATTTGATTTTAGTTTACCTTTTAAGAACTGTTTCTAACTCGTAATGTTTTTTCTTATATATTATTAGTATACCCTTAGTAAGTCTCTATAAAACGTTAATATTGAATTGTACTTCAGGTTCGATTTGTGTGATAGCTACAACTATAATTTGTTGGGTAAACTATCTCCCCTCTTTCCACCCCTTGACCCCGCGCTGCCTTTTAAATTAATAAGATATCCTTCATACCATATAATCCTGTAATCATTTTGACATATTCTGATGATAACATGTGACTTTGTATAGCTTTAATCTTGTAATCATTTTGACATATTCTGATGATAACATGTGACTTTTTATAGCTTTTTTGATATTCTTTGGAAACTGCAATCAATTTCTATGTATGGCCATACTACAATACGTTCTTTTTAGATTTGCAATATTTTACTTAAGAACACGGATATCGCAAAATGTAAGGTGTCGATCGTGGGAAAATTGGGTGAAACTGAGAGATGAATCCATGCCCCACAGGTATGACTACATCTGTCAGCAGCAGTGACGAGCAAGATTACCTTTGTCAACACCTTAAAAGTCTCCAAAATAAACACAACTTTGAAAATGTAAATTTCTAAATCTCTTAATCCTTTCCCACGACTTCACCATTATTCAAATGGGAAATATTTGAGGCTGAAAATACTGTGATTTCGATAGATAACGATCAGGTGGGACAGAGGTATCCGTGTCTTTAGTATAAAAAGGCCTCCACTGTTCACTGTTCTCCACAGGGTTGATGAGTTGAGCTGTTGACGTCCAGGAATACAAAAGAGGTAAGAGGAGACATCTCTTTGTAATTATCTGGTTTACCCTTTGAGGCCAACGCTTGTTATTGTTAGTGAAAGTAAGCATGTTCTCCCCTCTTTATTATGATTGCAAATGCTACGCGTTAGCACTCAGATGTTTCTACTTCAATGCTACCACCCACTATGTTTGACT